GTTGTCTTACTCCAAGCTGTATAGGCTCGAAAGCCTACTACCAATTAAGCATATTAGGTGATGTGCATCTCTGTAATGAGAAGGGGTGTGGTCTAATGACATCAACACCCTATATCAGGTGTGCATAATTATTAGGCAACTTCCTTTCCTTTGGCAAAATGGGTCAAAAGAAGGACTTGACAGGCTCAGAAAAGTCAAAAATAGTGAGATATCTTGCAGAGGGATGCAGCACTCTTAAAATTGCAAAGCTTCTGAAGCGTGATCATCGAACAATCAAGCGTTTCATTCAAAATAGTCAACAGGGTCGCAAGAAGCGTGTGGAAAAACCAAGGCGCAAAATAACTGCCCATGAACTGAGAAAAGTCAAGCGTGCAGCTGCCAGATGCCACTTGCCACCAGTTTGGCCATATTTCAGAGCTGCAACATCACTGGAGTGCCCAAAAGCACAAGGTGTGCAATACTCAGAGACATGGCCAAGGTAAGAAAGGCTGAAAGACGACCACCACTGAACAAGACACACAAGCTGAAACGTCAAGACTGGGCCAAGAAATATCTCAAGACTGATTTTTCTAAGGTTTTATGGACTGATGAAATGAGAGTGAGTCTTGATGGGCCAGATGGATGGGCCCGTGGCTGGATTGGTAAAGGGCAGAGAGCTCCAGTCCGACTCAGACGCCAGCAAGGTGGAGGTGGAGTACTGGTTTGGGCTGGTATCATCAAAGATGAGCTTGTGGGGCCTTTTCGGGTTGAGGATGGAGTCAAGCTCAACTCCCAGTCCTACTGCCAGTTCCTGGAAGACACCTTCTTCAAGCAGTGGTACAGGAAGAAGTCTGCATCCTTCAAGAAAAACATGATTTTCATGCAGGACAATGCTCCATCACACGCGTCCAAGTACTCCACAGCGTGGCTGGCAAGAAAGGGTATAAAAGAAGAAAATCTAATGACATGGCCTCCTTGTTCACCTGATCTGAACCCCATTGAGAACCTGTGGTCCATCATCAAATGTGAGATTTACAAGGAGGGAAAACAGTACACCTCTCTGAACAGTGTCTGGGAGGCTGTGGTTGCTGCTGCACGCAATGTTGATGGTGAACAGATCAAAACACTGACAGAATCCATGGATGGCAGGCTTTTGAGTGTCCTTGCAAAGAAAGGTGGCTATATTGGTCACTGATTTGTTTTTGTTTTTGAATGTCAGAAATGTATATTTGTGAATGTTGAGATGTTATATTGGTTTCACTGGTAATAATAAATAATTGAAATGGGTATATATTTGTTTTTTGTTAAGTTGCCTAATAATTATGCACAGTAATAGTCACCTGCACACACAGATATCCCCCTAACATAGCTAAAACTAAAAACAAACTAAAAACTACTTCCAAAAATATTCAGCTTTGATATTAATGAGTTTTTTGGGTTCATTGAGAACATGGTTGTTGTTCAATAATAAAATTAATCCTCAAAAATACAACTTGCCTAATAATTCTGCACTCCCTGTATTTATTCATACATGAAAACACAATACAAATAATATACCTCAAGATGACAGTTTAACAAAAGCTGACCTAATTTCTAGCACAGGTTGAGGTGTGTACAGAGAAAAAGCGGATGACTTCCAACGCCCTAACGACTTGATGACATGAACTGGTATGTCATGATTAGAGGCTGTAGAAACCACCCCTATCCTGAAAGAGTGTCCTGAAAACTTACTAGCATTCAAACCTAGTCTAGTCAGTAATACCCGTACATACTGCATGAATTTTGAGGTGGTCAGGACGGCTCTGTTGAGGACCAGCAGAGGGATGTCTGGGGTGGTAATGTTTGGAGATATGAATCCAGAATCTTAACCGGGCGCCATTTATTGAGATTAGGATAATATCTGAACTGATTTACCAAGCTGACTTGTTTTTGTAATGCTGTTTAACTAGATAAGAACAGTCTCGTGAGTTTCTGTTACTATGTATAGTGAATTTGCATGGCCTAGGAAAGCCATAATAGGCCAAGTAGATAGCGGTCTTGATGAATGAATTTGTGACATGTTCGAAAGGGGTTGTATCTAATAAGTCTGACATATCCTTGAATATCTGTTTGTGAATGGGTAACCTTTGAATTGGAGTAGTGTATCCCTTTCAGTAATTTTATATTTAGTGATTATTATTTAATTGTATTATTTTCAATGTACATATTTCCATGTCTTTGTAACTACAGCCTGTGCTAATCATGCAAAAGTATTTTATCACCTCTGTCTTTGTCCATCATGTTAAAAGTTAGTTTAACCAGCTCAGACCCATATATCTTTCTTGTTCTTAGTTTAATAGTTTTATTTCCCTACTTAAAATGACCTTGTAACGGCACCCTGGGTATCAAAGGGGTTAAAGCAGTTTAGGATGTTCCCTTTACGAATGCAGAGACAGCTAACGAACCTTCCAATCAGCCGAACAGGAACCATATGAATATTCCACACCATACGAATGCTCCAAACAGCCGAACAGGAGAAACCATATAAATAAATCCCCCCAAGTACGAAACGAGGCTCTGTATAGAGGGTCAAGCAGTGATCTGATTTAATGTGGGCTACCTGCACAGTATTTATGCAGGTCTTCCACCAGGTGGACACTCCCCTAGGGGACCTGGTGGAAAACTGTGACAAGAATAGTACAGTAACCAATCACAGTGTTACAGACATAATCACTCCCCTTTTGCTGTATAGGACCCTCCTCTCTATCCTGGAGATAATTGGGAAGTAACTCAAATATATCCGAGGATAGAGGCAAAACTCCATTTTATACATGGCAATAAAAATACATAAAAATAAATAACTTCTAAACTACAATACACACATCTAACATATCCTCAGATAGCTGGGATCTGAGTGCACAAAGTTACCGAATAGCGTTCAGATCCTATGTATACAGTCAAATCGCCATGGAGCCAAAGTCTTTCACATAGTCCTTTCGTTATACGAATGGGCTCCATGGGAGGGCTATCTGAGGGTGGCTCCATTCGTATGAAAATGTAGGTGAAACAGATGAAGGGAGGTCGGCGGTTTCAGCGGTGTTCGTATGAAAATAGTAGCCGGTTTTAGTTCCAAAGAATCGTCTACAAACACCGCTGGGCAAGCGCATGTCCAAGATGGCCGCCGCCTCGTGTTCGTTCATACGAACGACAACCACCCAGCTGACCATTAACAAGGGGAAGTGTTTGCGGTTAACCACAATGTTCTAATGAGGCCAAGAGGTTAAAAAGCAGCACACTTCCCAGCTGGGTGTCCGGCCGCTCGGCAAGTCTTTCGGTAAAAAGGAGAAATAACACAGGACCCATACAGACAGGGAAAGGCACAAATAAACAGACAAATGAGAATAAAATAAATGTAATCCACAGACATATGGTTCTGTCACAGACCTTAAATCAAATGTCAATCTATGCATCCCCCCCATCCCTTAGCCCACCTGACCCCAATATATATCTCTCTCCCACAGTCTGATTTTTAAACATACCCAGTCCAGCAAAGAACTCAGAGCTCAATCAGCTGTTCCACGGTCATTTGCAACATGTAGCCTTCTGGAAGACACAAATTATCATACACCCTGGCATGCTTTGTTCCTGTAACTTATCAGCCCTCCTACCCCCACCTCACTAAATTTTAAAGTATCCCATTCAATATATGGCCAAACAAAAATGATGTCCAAATTCCTATTCCTTATGTTACTTGCCCTTGCAAATGATGTGGAGTCTAACCCTGGTCCCCCAGCTAATTCTAGTCCTAATCTTCCCACTAAAAATGGCCTTTATTTTGTGCACTGCAACAGCCGTAGTTTACTCCCTAAACTGGATGCACTGCAAGCCTGGTGTTCCCATTACAAACCAAAAATAATTGTGCTCTCAGAATCATGGTTAACAACTAAAATACCAAACACCGCCATTGCAATACAGGGTTATTCATGTTTTAGAAATGACAGAGCAAAGAGTGGAGGCGGCATTGTTATCTATGTTGACAATTCCATAACGTTTAACCCCTTACAACACTTTAACCCTTCTGCCACCTTTGATTTCCTTTCTGGCACAATTGAGATTCCGTGCAGTAAATTAATCATTGTTGCAGGAATCTACTGCCCACCTAGCTCCCCAGTGCATTCCCTATCTGACATAGCCCAACTCCTTAGTGAAACCATAGCTCAAAACTCAAAAAGTGAACTGTTGATCTTTGGAGATTTTAATATTGATTGGCTGAACCCTAAAAATAATAGTTCTTGCATGCTGTTTAAGACTTTGCAGCTAACGCAATTAATCTCCTCCCAAACTCGCATAAACATTAAAAGCCATAACCATACCCTGCTCGATTGGATTCTCTCCACTTCTCCTGATAGAATCCAGGAGGCCGGTGTTCTCCCAAACAGTTTCAGTGATCACTGTTTAGTGTACTGCGTGCACAAAATAAAGGCTACTAAATCCTCTCCCAAGGCTAAAATCATCAGGTCCTTAAAAAATGTGATCTTGAATACTTTCTTAATGACATCAAGAACCTCCCATGTCACAGATCAAACCTTATCCCAGATCTAGACAGTGCTGTTGAATTCTTTCAGTCTGAACTCCTACAAATTTGGAATTTGCATGCCCCGCTGTGTAAGGTGAGAGTAAAAGGAGCACATTTGAACTGGATCACAGCTGACCACACTAAATGTACCAGTTTCGGGATTCTTTGTGGTCAAAGTTCAAGTGTACTGGCATACTGAATGATCACTGTACAATGGCAAAATATATGCACAAAACAAACAAAATTGGCCAAGGCCCAATATTTCTGTGAAAATCTGAACAATAACATCTCAAACCCTAGAAACTTTTGGAAAGTCATAAATAAATTACAAACTCCCCCAATTCACTCCCAACCCTCCACTGTCAAAGTGGATAACCAAACCCTGCAACTTCCCTTAGATGTGGCAAATGCCTTTAACAGTTATTTTGTCGGATGCTCCACTGCCCTGATTGCCAAGCTAATAAATTACATGCATCCTGAAACTACAAATGTGGATCAGGCCCCATTAAATTTGGAAAGGCCTGATCCACATTTGTAGTTTCAGGATGCATGATTTCGGACGAATTTCGGGAAATTCGGACATTCGAGTACTTCCGAATGTCCAAATAGCCAAATTGCCGAAGTGCCGAATTGCTGAGGTCTCGAAGTCCCGAAATTACAGAATTTCCAAAATGTCGAAGCACAGTATTGCCTAAATACTAATATACTTACCCAGTGGAAGAAGAAGAATGTTACACTGTATACAATTTTAAATGAAAAGTATACAAACATAGCCAGGATTCAGCTGTAAGCATTTGCCACACTTACAACAATCAAGTAACATACATTCATGTAAAATGTAAGTTACTTAGCCTGATATTAGAGAGTTATCTACTAACAAGGCTGAAAGACCTAAATTGGTCATTCAGCCAAATTTACTAATACTAAGTAAAGATTACTTAGTATTAGTAAATTATGCCCCTACTCGCTATACTGCGAGTAGGGGCATGTCTATTAAACAGTGAGCAGCCCTCCCCTCCCGAGCCCCCACCCGTACTGTGCGAGTGGGGGCTTCTACCCTGAAGGGGGGGACCTATTGCCCCCCCTACAGTAAAATAAGGGGGGGACCTATTGCCCCCCCTACAGTAAAATAAGGGGGGGACCTAATGTACTTCCCCCTGGCCCCCACCCCTGAACGGTGGGTGGGGGCCCTAAATACTAATTAGGGGGGGAACCTAATGTCCTCCTTGTAGCAGAGGCCTGATATTTCACAGGTTAACTCCACTAAGATCCCAGTGAGGCTCAGGAACAAGTGATGAAAAATCCCATAAAGCAATAATTCCAGCCAGCAAGGTAATCCAAGAATATCCCCATATCCCCAATGACTGGACGACACACAGCATCAGGAGCAGAACTAACTTTTATTCCACACAACCTCCTTTTAAGCATTTCTCCCATGCAAGGGAGGGATTCACATTCATTAGCACAGTACCCAATGGAATAGCAGTTACCTCCCACCCATCTCCTCCCCTTAGTATGACACTTAATCCTATACCCAGGTTATAGTTTTCCCCCAAGTTCTGGATGTACCCTAATATTAGCAGATACACCAATACTTTGGGTACCCCCTGGTAGCCCTGATCTGGGTGACTAACATATCCAAAATTCACCCAGATCAGACCAGGGGTTCGGGAGTTAGGTGGAGGGTGTAATTTGACCGACCGCACACAAGGTGGTATCCAAAAAGGGTTCCATGGGTTTTTCGGTCTCTGTTCAGGAGTTGAAAGACACATAATATACTGCCATCCACTAATACATTTACGTTCGCATGACTCCCCTCATTCGGTACTTTAAACTTACCGAACGGGGAGCTGATTCGCCTTTCCGTTCGGGAGTTACAGAGCTCTGGAGGTGTCAGCGGTGTTCGGGTAATCGAGTGTCCGATTTGAGTTCCAGACACCGCTGAGCCTTTCGTGCGTAAGATGGCTGCCGCCACGTGTTCGCATGCCAAATAGCGGCCACCCAGATACATACATAAAACACCTATTAGTCTGTGCTTAGCGAACAATTTGCAGCTTAACGAGGGACACACTTCCCTCTGGGGTGGTCTGTTAGTTCGGTAGTTTCCATTCGTATGAAATACGAATGGAAACTACCGAACAATCATACGAATTCTACTTACAATTAACTATACAGCAGAAACAACACATGAATTGCAGGATTTTCATAGTTTTTAAGGACAGCCATAGTACCATCCGCTACACTCCTCCCTGGCCCACACCCACCATTCTAATTTAGGAGGTCCTAAATTAGAATGAGGGTGGGAACCTAATGTCCTCCCCTCCCTGGAAAACCCACCCCTGAGGAGTGGGTGGGGGCCCTAATTCCTAATGTCCTCCCCCCAGCCCCACCCCTGAGTGGTGGGTGGGGGCCCTAAATAAAAAATTAACCCCCCTCCCCAAGTGACTAGGGGTCCCCAAGCCCCTTGCCACCCCCATCTCCCAAAAAATTAACCCCTACCTACACCCCTTACCCTAGAAATAGTGAGGGGGGACCATTAGCTAAGTACCTGTTTAAAAATAAAATAAAACTTACCATTTGATGTTTTCTTTCTTCTAAAATCTTCTTTTTTCAGCCCCCCAAAAAAGTCAAATAAAAAGCCATAATAACCGACGCACTTTAAAAAAAAAAATGAGAGCAAAAAAAAAAAATGTATCCATCTTCACCCGGCGAGGGCTCCGCGCAGACTCAGCTCTGCAGGGCGGGGGAAGACTTGTAAAGCCTTGCCCTGCCCTGCAATTAGGCTCAGAGCACTCGTAGTCTCTTTTGGCTTGTATCTCGATGGTCACCTGGTTCCAGATCACCTGGAAGGTCTCCATCGACACATTAGGGCCATAATCGCTGGTGCACCTCGAACAGCAACTCTGAGCAAGAGTCAGAGGATGCCATACCTTCCTGCTCCAAGTCTGTGGGCACCTCTGCATCCAGGGGAACTGCACGAATGCTATGTAATTTGACTCATAACACTCTGGTGGATTAAGTAACCAGAGTGTTATGAGTCAAATTACACAGCGTGGGAAAATTCCAAAGAACTTTCTCACGCTGTGTAAAATGACACAGAGTACTCTGATTGGTGGGTTTAAGCCATCTAATCAGAGTGCTCTGACAGGTAAATGAATCTACATTTACCTGTCAGAGCACTCTAATTGGTTGGTTGGAAATTTTTTAACATATGGTCGAACAAGAATTCCAGGGCTTTTCCAAAGGAACTAGGAATACACATACTCACAAGCTTACTAGAAAGGAGGAATTGTGCCTTAAAAATATTATAGAGAGGAGAGAGATAACAATTAACGAAGCAGACAAAAGGGGGGGGGAATCGTATTAATGACAACAGAATATTATCTACAGGAGTCTTTAAATATCCTGGGGATAAAAATACTTATTGTATTCTAAAAATGATCCCACCATTCAGTTTAATACCCAGTTGAAAATAATTTTAGACAAAGCTAAAGATCAGAATATCATCTCACAACAGAATTATAATTTTTTATTACAAAAATATTCAACTATATCTATTTTTAATTCTTACCGAAAACGCAAACGTTTGTTTACCCCCCTCCTTGTTCACCCGATTATCAGCGGGGTAGATTCAATAACTGAATTTATCAGCCTTTACTGACTCCTTTCTACAAAAATGTGCTCAAAGAGCCCTTTCAAATGTAAAAGACACCAAATAGTTTCTACAGGAGATTGAGAACATAGAGTGGGATCCCAACTACAGTTGCACTACACTCTATGTAACCTCACTCTATACTGTTATCAATCATGATCTGAGTTTGGAAGCCATTGACCATTTTATGACCAAAGATTCTGAATTACCATGCGATTTACATCAGTTCATTTTGAATTCCGTTACGTCTATTTTGGAACACAATTATTTTTTCTTTACTGGTCTATTTTATTTACAAACCACTTGTTCCGCCATGGGCACCAGGTTTGCTCTCATTTATGCCAACACCTACATGAGGCACTAGGAAGACCTTTTTGTGTGGTCTTGTCATGGCTGGAGGGAAAACCCGGTGCTCTGGCGGAGATTTATCAACGATATTATTATTTGGAAAGGGCCATTGTTTACTTTTCAGAATTTTGTTAATTTTCTTAATCATTACAACCATTACCCCTGTCTGGAATAAATATGAAATTATTCAGTGAGAACAGACAAATCAAAACTAGATGTTACTTCAAGCCAACAGATGGCAATGGGTATGTCCATCATGCCAGTTGCCATCATCACCCTTGGCTGAAGGGCATAGCCAAAGGGCAGTTCACACATCTTAGACATAACTGTCCACACTTACATGACTTTACCCATCAGTCCCAACACATTAAAATAAACAAGAAGAGCACTCTAGTGGATAGTGCATGGGTACCAGGAGCTGACTTGTGAAAATAACTTAAAATCTGATAAAGTGACTATTATATAGAATGAATAATATGTAAAAATATATAAAAAATAAAATGTGCAAAAATGCTAGGTAACTGTGCCTTTAAAAGCTGTAAAACAAAACAGAAGTGAAGATATAGATATAAGGTGACATATAAATGTAGTGATTATGTGTCAAAATATAAACTAAAATGCAATGCCCATAAAAATGTATGGAGACAGTGAGTATCAAAAAGATGAAGAAAAAAGTATATAATATACATATATATATATATATGTATATAAAACAAAAATAGTAATGCACTCCACCTTCCTTGATGTACTTGCCCGGTGCTTATCAGCAAACAGATACAGCCAAAAGTACAAGATAGCACTCTAGGGACTTCCAAGTTAAATGAATAAAACTTAGCTTTTATTAGCTCAAAATAAAAATCAACGTTTCAGTCTGTATCACAGACTTTCATCAGGATGAGCTTGCAAATCAAATCCATAAGAATATATACCCTCTGTATTCCCTTAACTTACCCAGGTTGAGGATAGGAGTGATCCCAGGGGCACCTGACCAGCAGCCTGCTCAGGTCAAATGATTGACACTGATGATGTCATAGACATGCGCCTCCCGGGGTCGTTCCCATAGCAACCCAGTATAACCAACAAAATAATACATATACATATAACTAAAAACATCATTGCTATCAACCTCCATCTAGCAAGATTAATTACGGATGCTACCGTTGCTTAGGTTGTGTGACCTGTGGACATATGCTGTCAGGCAAAACATTCACACACCCTCACTCTGGGAAACCCTACACCATTCGACATCGCTTAACGTGTACATCGGATTTTGTAATATACAAACTTACTTGCCCATGTGGACTGGCCTATGTGGACAAAACAGATTTACCCTTACGTGAACGAATCCGTAACCATAGATCCAGTATACGGACTGCTTATAGGGACAACAAATCTGAGCAACCCGTGGCAAAACATTTTCTTGAGAAGTGACACTCGTTGCCCACCCTGAAACTGATAGCCATAGATCATGTTCCACCTTTGCGCAGAGGTGGAGACCGCAGTAAGCTGTTGACCTCAACCTGGGTAAGTTAAGGGAATACTGAGGGTATATAT